GGGTTTACGGTTTAGGGATTAGGGCAAAAGGCCATTTGCTTTGAGAGGTTTAGGCTCTCGGATTTTAGGTTATGGCTTTTGGGGTCAAGGCTTTTTGGTTTTAAAAGGCTTTGGGTTTAGGGCTTGAGTTCTACGGTATTTTCGGCTTGGGTGGCAAAACCTTTGGGTTTAGGATTTAGGGTCTTGGGCTTTGGCCCACTCATTCGACAAGCAACGTAATTAAGGAAACCAAGATCCCTAGTCGTGAGGGGTACTCGCTGTCAGCAGGAGTGTCCGTCAAAAGTGTTTCTGCCACAGGTTCTCTACAAGGGGTCCCTTTTGTCCTGGTCGTATTGTGTTGGAAGTGCACGGGCGATCAGTTTTTTCAAAGCCATGGCCACTTGCTGCACCTCACAGCTCTGTCGTTGTCCCAAGTTGATAGAGATGCGAGGCACAGGACATGCCGAGAAACATAGTGGATACTATAAGTCCTGCATTGCCCTAGGCAATTGATACCTTGCGAATTATGGTGCTACAGTATATTGAGGTCATGTAGGGTTCCTAATATCACCACCATGTAGCTTAAGCTGCACTGCTAAACGCATCGCCCTACACCCTAAACCCTAAATAGTAGTGTCCATTTTCTTTTGCATTATCCTTATAAAACCCCAAATATAACCCCTATATAGTCACAACATAACCCTAAACCCTAAACCCTAAAACCCTAACACCCTAAACCCTAAAGACCCTAAAACTCTAAAACACTAAACCTCAATGGCCAGGAGAGCGTGCTCGACACGAAATCAGCTCAAGTTGTGCAGCTGACGGCGGAGGCCACGAGGGTTTAGGCATACATAGGGTTAAAAAGGGCTTTACATTGGGTTTAGGGTTTAGGGTTTAGGGTTATATTGGGGCTATATAGGTTTATATAGGGGCCTATACGGTTTTCTACAGGGTTCTCTAGGGTTTAGGAGAGTGTTATCCCCAATTATGGAGAATCAAATGGAAAAGAACATAGAAAAAGAAATCGAAACTGGGATTTAGCAGTGGTTCTTCTGCTGATTTCAATGACCGCTGTTTCCGGGGTGATGTTCTTACATCTCCCTATTTTTGCCACTCTACCTACACATATATATATATATGTATATATATATAAAGTACCCACCTCCAAAGATCTACAGTTTTATAGGTTCCATTTGCCTCAATGACTTTCAATTTTCAGTGAACATATCTGCTTCAATCACATCAAGGAAATCATATACCATTTCCCATGTCCGACATCTCAATTCTCGATGAAATCATCTGCTTCAATCAAATCGCACATATATATATATTTATGTATCATTACCTCCTCGTATAATCCTCATTTACTAGTAGTTTCCATTTCATGTTCTGTATGACTTTCCATTTGATTCTCCATTCCTAAGCCCTGAGCCTATAAATTCCGATGTAATTCCCTGCGTAATTCCTTGTTTATTCCCCCGTCTAAGCCCTATACTCTACCCTGGCCTTAAACCCCGAAAAGAGAGAGAAAGAGAGTAGAGCAGTGAGAAGAAGAAGAGTGAGACTGTGACTGCTGGGCTTGGGGCCTAGCCCCGCGGGTGCGGGGCTGGGCCCCGAGAGGGCCGTGAGGGTCCTCGAGCACCCGAAGAAGGAGAAGAGGCCTGCATGAAAGAAAGAAAGAAAGAAGAGAGTCGTGCGCTCGGGGTTGGGGTTCGTACCGGCAAGACCTCCGGGTCTTGCAAAGCCTATAGAAGAAGAGAGAGAGAGATATGTATATATATATATGTCTGTAAAAGAGAGAGAGAGATAGATAGATAGATACACATATATGTATACACGTATTTATATACGGTAGATGTCTATGCATATTCGCATGCATAAATATGAACATACGCGTAGGCATATATATATATATATGTACATATATATATATAGATATAGATATATAGATATATATGTATGCGCACATATATACGAGTACATACATATATATATATATACACATATATCCTTATGATCACCTATACAATGCTCTGAACACCCGTTTTCAGGCTGAAAAGCAGAAGGAAATCTTGAGGCAGTCCCTGGCTTGAAGCTTGCAGCTTTTTTTGAAATGAAAGCCTAAACCCTAAACCCTAAACCCTAAACCCTAGGCCCTAAACCGCCTGTAAAGTCTAGGGTTTAGTGTTTAGGGTCCCTTCATTTTTTTTGGATTATGTAGGGATGTACAGCGTTACAAATGGGGATTACCTAGGGATGATCCGTGGATATAAAAGGTTTAGGGATAGAAGATTGGAGAAACAACTGGAAATGAAACCAGAAAAAGACATGGAAACTGCCGTCAGTAGAAAGAGTACGGGGGGGTGTATATAGGGATAATATTCATAGGGATAATGGAAAAGAAAATGGAAACTACGGGGATAAACCCTAAACCCTAATCATTATTTCCCAGTCCTAGAGCCCAGGCGCGAGAGGACCATTTTTCGCTACTCCGTTGACCTGCAGGAGCTGGTGGCCGACCAGGAACCCTGAGTTAAGGGTTTAGGGTTTAGGGTTTAGGAATGGATAAGCAAACCGAAAAGAAAACGGAACATGAAACTACTGCTTTAAGGTGAAATGGACACTGGGGTTATACAGGGGCTTAGAACCTGGGTTTTCTTGCGTTCCAAAATGCTCCGCATGTGCCAGGACATCCGGAACTGGCACATAGGGTTGAAAAAGATCTGGCAAAACCACGTTGACCCGGAGGTCTTCAAGAAGGACTTGGTATTAGTCACGAAGGGCAGCTGAAGATGCAACAGTGGCTTAGGGTTTAGGGTTTAGTGTTTAGGGTTTAGGGGGCTCGTTGGCAACTGCGCCAAGACCAAACATGCCAACTCTCCTGTCTGAAGAATGAGTTTCGTGGTAATAAAAGAAAGAATGGCAATAACTACAGTACTGATACTGAACAAAATTACCACACTAAACCCCAAACCACCAGCTCCCTTCTGTAAACAAAGGTAGGTTTGGAATTTATCTTAAACTTTTGTTATCCTCAATTCCTGTATAAAGCTGACGGGGAGGATGAGGAGCACAGTCAGCCGATGCATGAGCTTGGCAGGCAGATCCAGGCCATCATGACATGTGGACAGGGTCTAGGGGTTAGGGTACTAAGGTTTAGGGTTTAGGGGTTAGGGTGGGTTGCTGTTAAGGAATTTAGTTTAAGTTACTATATTGGGGCAACCCTACTACTTAGTGTATATATATATGTATATACACCCATTACGGTAACTCAAGTTAAGTTCCTTAACGGCAACCCAGAATGTGTGTAGGCATTTCCGCAGCATGAAAACCAGCTAGTTGCCAGATCTCTGTCATGTTGATCACGATGTATGTTGTCGGCAGCATTTTTGCATGACATCCGGTGGCGGTGGGTGCTCTGGTGCCCACCAGCCGCTCAGGAAACGCCTGTTTCGATGTTGGAGACTGATCCCCATAGTTAGACAGCATTTTTCCTACTTTCATCCCAGCCTCCCACTGTCCCACCCACAAGGCTCTATCAACACTGCTTCTACCACCGGCAGCAACAATCAGCAAGTTGCAAGCAAGCAAGCAAGAAATCAAAGAATAAGAGTAGCATGTAGCGGATGACCTTCTTGGGCCATGTTGCCGCCAATGACATCCTCATTTCCAGTTTGCTGTCCGCGTTCACGTGCTCGGACCTTGGGCATCTGGAGATGGTGAGTGCAAGTGTCCTGGCAGAGTTGTCATCGTCTCAGCATTGGGTGAAGTACTTTGAGCGTACGTCCCACGTGCGTTTGGGCGGGGAGTGCCTGGCGGTGCTCTTGGAGTGCACCGCCCCACAACGTCCTGAAGTGAAGGCACTGCTGTGCAAGTTGGCAACTCTGGCAGCACCGAGAGAGCAAAGCTCTCTTCCCAAGCACCTGTCGCCTGTAGTGATAGGACCCTTATCGGACGTACAAAAGTTAGCCAAAAAACTGGAGGCAGCGGAGCATAAAGCAGGGCAGGCAAGGAAAGACGGGCTTGCGACGACCGATGTGATGATCAGGTGCTTCCAGTTCACTCACGGGAGTGTGAGCAGCCCTATCTCCTTCCACCTTGCCGGAGGGCCAACGACCTCACAGAAATACATGCTTCAGTTGGGCTGGACAAAATCCGATGATGTGGTGTTGAAAGTAATACCTCAGGATGCTCGGCCCGACGATCAGACTCAGGATTTGCTTAGTATAAGCATCTCGACCATTGGTGCAGGTCTGTACTTCGCCTCGCGCGACTCAATAGTCACTGCAGATGAGCGATGGTGGAGCACCAACGGGATTTGCACGACACTTTCTGGCCATGACTTGCTGAAGAGGCTCTTTGCTGGACTTTGGTGTGTCGTGTGCATATGCCGCCAGCCGGACGATGCGCCAGAGCCGCCGTCGTCCCGTGCCACGCCTGTGCTGGAGAGTCTGTCGCTGCAACGCCCTGAATCTGACACTGAGCCTGCCTTCACTTGAAGGTTGCTTTGTACATGCTTCAGCGTTTGATGTGCCACAAGCATGCACAACGCGAGATATCTTTACAATAATACTGTTCATGGTTTCCTGGGCTGGAGCTGGCGCCGCCAGTTTTCCCACAGCTGCTTGTCCACATGGACGACCGCATGCTGGCCGAAAGGTACAGCGTGTGTGATCGTCTTGAATTACCTGACACTTTCAAGGCAATTTTTGCTCGATGGACATGTATAGCTGCAGGCAAATTTTTTCCTCCCGCATAAAATTCCAGTGGCAACCTAGCATGGTCAACAAGCCATGATGTTTACTGCCCGACACATGAACTATATTCTAAACTCCTTAAAGGGGGGTTATATACGGGATTATATAGGGGACTAATATAGGGGTTATTAAGGGGGAGTCTAGGAGTTTAGACTATAGCTCACATAGGGATACCACATGTATGATGGAC